GCCTTCATCTTCAAAAAAACAAGTCAGCAATGGCAGTTTGCATATTCCTATCCAAACAGGTTCACTTTCATTGAGTTTTCAATGTGTTATGCAAGTCTTAAACAGCAACATGCAACAACAAAAAGCTTACCTCTTACAGACGTGAATAATTCGATGTTCTCTGTAGAGCTGTGTAAAATGTTGGCACTAAATAAATACAAGAAATAAATAATTTATAAACAGAATTTGTGTGGCATGTCATTTTTTTTGGGGGGGTGGAGCGGGTATCTACTTTTGACAGGTACCCGCTCCCATTTCCTCTCCCCCATCCCCCTTGCAGTCTTTTGGGACATGTCACAGTTCCTATAGGACTTTGGGATGATTCACAAAGAGCAGCGCTGCTCGCACATGCACAATGGGCCTCAGGGCCTGGTCTGTGCACAATTTGGCACGGTACCACTTTTTTATTTTTCTATTTATTTATTATCACTCCCACGTTTTGTCACTTTTTCTTGCTTTTGTGTGTGTTTTTCACAGGATGGAGGGTGTGGGTCCTCGGGCCTTCCCTGAAGTCTAGGGGAGGATGTGTGGCCTTTTGGTTCCTTCCTCCCCTGATCCCTAGGGGGTTTTCTCTTCGGGAGAGCCCCCTGACCAAGTACTAAGTGTCCGGCTTCGGCTGGACAGAAGGAACGGTGGTCCACCAGGCCTTTTGGCCAGAAGGACCAAATGGGAACCTTGTCCCTGTCAGGAGCTTCGTGCCCCGGGGGATCAGGGTAGTGGTCCAGCCCCTTTAGGGGTAGGACAAAAGCACACCCCTAAGTGCACTTTTTCGTGTGGTGTTCGCACTTGCACTTTTTTTGTGATCACTTACGGTTTTTTTTTTTCGTTCTAGTTTGCACGTTTGCGGACTAAAAAAAAAAAAAAATGGGCAGCCAGCTGTGAAGCCACTACCTGTCCCAGTTGGGTGCCCACACTTAACATGTTGGTGCCAGGAACCCAAAGACTAGTGAAGAACTAGCTCGGGTGAGGACGGCGCTGGATTCATGGACAAGTAGGTGTCCTAATATTAAAAGTCAGCAGCTACAGGATTTGTAGCTGCTGATTTTTAAATTTCTGTTACAGAGTGGAGAAACGCTTTAGACACTAAAAAAGCTGCTAAAAGAAGCACTGGATAAAAAAACACACCATAACAAAACACATCTGAAATGTAGGTATATATATAGATAGAGATATATATAGGCCATTGCCTATATATATATATATATATATATATATATATATATATATATATATAGGCAATGGCCTATACATAAGTTTCCTTAATAAACCTCTATGATTCACATTCAGGATTCCTTATGTTAGGATGGGAAATTTACCATTACAAAGCTGTTTTTAAAGTTTTGTGTAACGCATGGTATCTCCATATTCTTTTATTTTGTTATTGAATAAAACTATGTATTTTAATTCCTAATGTGTGATCCTTGGGCACCTCAAAAGTCCATTTTATTTATTCTGTTCAATTTTGGCTATATTTGTTTTGTACCCGCTACAGTACAATCGGCTTTCTAGGTCATTTTTTTATATAAAAATATATTCTTTAGTAAATACAGACCACTGTATTTTTTATAATATATTAATATTTGAATAAGGAATCGTATATTCCTTTCTTTTAATAATGTTGTATGGCCAGGATAGCATTATGGCTTCAGTATTTTATAACACCATTAAGTTATAAAAACTGTGTTTCTAATGTAGGCAATATAACATACTGCTGATAGAACAGGCATTATAAAACACTGTCACTAGCACTTAAATCATTCACACTCTAATAACACAAGACAATTGTTATCGAAATGGCACAGTCCTGCAGACTTTACAGTACACCACAGAGAATGATAGATTTATGAAATCATGAAGGCCACTGTTATATTCTTCAATAGCACAGAATGAGTTCAAAGCTAGATATACTGTATCTATTCATAACTTTTAGCCTATGTTTATTATTACATTGGTGTTGCATATAGAAATTAGGATTGTTTTAAAATTTGGTTTATAGAAAAACATGCACATACAATTTGAAATTTAGGATTTTAAAGAGGAAGCAAACTCTGAAAGTTGTGCCCAAATAAGGGCAGGCTGGAAAAAAAAAGGACTTTTCCCCAAAATTGCCTGTGGTTCCCCTGATCCTTTGCCCAAGGGGCGGACTGACCATTTGAGCACTCGGATACTGCCCGAGGGCCCGGGGTCAGTAGGGGGCCCCATGAGATGCCCCTGGTACTTTTTTTTTTTAATAGGCTTTTTTGGGTGTGGGCAAGGACACAGGGGCCCCATGAGTTGTCAGTCTGCCCCTGCTTTGCCCATTGCTAATTTACCATCCTCTGTTCTGCTTTCTGTGGGGACAACCATCTTGGTAGAGGTAGGACTTTGCTTTCTCATTTCAGAGTTCCCAGCAAAGAGACAGACTAGGAGTCAGAGGCAGTAGTGCCTTATGTCTCACACTGCAGATATACAGCTATGAGGCTTAGGTGCCGTTCAGATATCGCACTGCAAGAACGAGAACCTGTGATTGTGAAAGCCCCATGAGTTGTCAGTCCGCCCCTGGATCCAGCTATGTGATCGCCCTAGCTAGTTCTTCACTGGATCTTCTGGGTTCAGTCTTCTGGGTTCTGTGACATGTTCCAGAAGACTGCAGCGAGGTAATGAAGAAGAACTTGTGCTCAGATCGCCTAGTCGATCCGAGCGGAAGTGGTAGCACGTATCTGTCAATATCAGATACCTGCTCCCCCCCCCCCCCCCCAAAAAATGATATGCCAAATATGATAGAGGAAGACTTAAAGCAGAACTTCCTCTTTTGGGTAAAGTTCCACTTTAGGCTACTACTGTTTAACCCCTTGGCGCCGGCGCCTCTCGGCTCTTTAAGGATTCCTGTAGCCGGGAGATGGGGCAGGGTTTTAGGGTCATGTGATTGCCGTGATTCGCTGTCACGGCGGTCACATGATTGAGAAAGGTCCCAAACAAAAGAGGAGATTGGGACATTTCCGTGAGTACCAAACATGTGTGCTGGGAGCACGCAGAGAGCGTGCTCTCAGCACATATGGTTTTTTTTAATAGAACGCAAATGTGCGGCTGCTCCAAGTCTAGGCCCAGACGCCGGGAGGCCGGGCCGTACATTTGCGTTCACCTAGCGCCAAGAGGTTAAGCACAGTTAACAAACGAGCCCCATTACATAGCAAATCTTCACTTTTGAGCTAAAGTTAATTTTTAGCTCTGATATTTTTGTTTAAAGTGGTAGTAAACTTGATGACTAAAAAAAAAACTTTTTCCCCTGCAAGGCATTGTCATAATGTGCTAGTATGCATTGTATTATGTGAAACGTACCTTAAAACATCGCTGACAGGGCTTCCATCTTCACTTGGTCCTTCTTCCAGGTTTGCAGACTCCAGCGTCAGCTCGGGCACACTGCTCTGGATGGCTGTGCACAGCCATCCAGAGCAGTGTGACTACAGTGCAGCACACTGACATGGCCCCCTTGTAAAACACTCCTGCACACAGTTAACCCTTTGATTGCCCCTCATGTTAACCCCTCCCTGCCCTGGTGCCATTAGTACAGTGTCAGTGCTTTTTTTTTTTAGCACTGTATTGGTGTCACTGGGGATGTCAGTGACACCAAGTTAGTTCCCCCAGTATCAGAATGTCCGCCACAGTCCTGCGATAAGTCGATGATCGCCGCCATTACTAGTAATACGAAAAAATAAATTCCAATATATATACCGCCATTTTTAACCACTATAACTTTCACGTAAACCAATGAATTTACATGTATTGGGATTTTTTTTTTAGCAAAGACATGTAGCAGAATACATTTTGGTGTAACTTTACGACGAAATTAGATTTTTTAAACATTTTTTTTACTGGACATGTTTAATAGCAAAAAGTCGAAAATATTGTTTTTTTTTTTTTTCTCAAAATTGTCGATCTTTTTTTTTTATAGTGCAAAAAATAAAAAATGCACAGGCAATTAAATACCACCAAACGAAAGCTCAATTTGTGGGACAAAAAGGCCCTACATTTCATTTGGGTGCAGTGTTGAATGACCGCACAATTGTCAGTTAAAGTAACGCTGCGCCGTAATGCAAAAAAATGGCCTGGTCAGGAAGGGGGGGGGGGAGGGGGGAAATCCTCAGGAGGGCAATTGGTTAATGTTCAGTATGTATGAAAGCTCTTTTACCTACCAAAATAATTTGTATTTCTGTCCATCCAGTCCTGACATTTACATAGCCCTGACACACACTACGGCCCCATGCACAATGGGCAGTTAGCTGCAGGTGCAGAAAGTGTGCATTTTGGGCATTTGTCCCTGGGCGCACATTGCCCTAAACGTTTGTACTACTAGATGCACCATCCAGCCGTGTCCAGCCACAGCATCTCATATAGTTTGACAGACTGCCAGCAACAGGGCTAAACCTTCCACTCGCACCTAAATGCCAGAGCCTCATGCACTGGGGCAAAACACCCAGTGTGCATGGAGCCTTACAAGTCCTGTCCCTCACCCAGGCTGTGTCAGGACAGTGAAATAAGAAGCAGCAGACTAAACAACTCATTTCTCTGTCACTCTGATTTCTCCTGCTATCAGCATGCATATTGTAACTACAGCTGGCTTGTGCTACTTCTCCCTTTCCCACTCTGGGTGACGTTAATATAGAGTTAAATTCAGGTACTTACACTTCTCTTTAAAAACAAATTTAATAACAGAACTTCATTAGTTTGTGTATTTTTTTTATCTTCTTGGATTTCAATTTTAAAGAATAAGTATGGACTTTCTTTCTATAGCTAAAACATCCAGGGTACACATGATAGATGATGTTTCTTACCATTTACTAAGGGTCAGGAAATCAAATGGATACTCTTGGAAGGTGGGCACTGATCCAGCTAACTCTTTAACTGTAACCTTTATGGTACCTGTTTGGGGTATGTAAATAGTGAGTATTGAATGTTAAATAATATAACTGTTCATTTTCCAGATTTCAAGACGATTTTCTTATCTGAGCTTGCGCAGGCGTGAACGTAAGTGAATTCACTTTATGATAAATGTAAATATGTTGGCATGGAAGTGCACCTAACTGAGTCCTATGGCAAAATCACCAGGGCACCAACTTCCTACCCTGATCCCAGGTTCTTACTGATGTCGTGTGATGTGGTGACGTTTTAACGTGATTTGGAGTGCCAGTACAGTGAAATTTGTGCTTTTCAGAAACGATTCTCATAGGCTATAGAGCTTAAAATTGCACTGCACTAAACTCGCACAGGACCCTGTTTTTAAACTGCACCAGCATCACACCATATCCTTGAGAACAGCCTTTATAGGAAACCATGATTTTTCACTTGAAATGCAAATCTATGCATTCTAGAAGACATCAGAACTTGCAATGGGGGCACTTGTGTATGCTCGCTCCCGTGCCAGCTCTGGGTGTCCATAAACACACAGAGCGTGGCTCAGCCCTGCCCTCCACTTCCTCCTCACTGGCAGTGATTGACAGCAGCAGGACCTTCTGCACACAGAAAGTTTTGTACCTTCATGCAATGAATGCATGAAGGTGAAAAACTTTCAGCCTTTAGAACCACTTTAACCACTTGACCTCCAGAGGATTTACCCCTCTTCATGACCAGGCCATTTTTTGCTATACGGCACTACGTTACTTTAACTGACAATTGCGTGGTCATGCAACACTGTACATAAATTAAATTGATGTAATTTGCTTCCCACAAATAGAGCTTTCTTTTGGTGGTATTTGATCACCACTGGGTTTTTTTGTGCTATAAACCAAAAAAGACCAACAATTATGAGAAAAAAAAAAAACAATTTCATCTTTTTTTTTTACTTTTTGCTATAAAATATATCCAATACAAAATTTAAAAAATCATCTTTCTTCATAAAATTAGGCCAATATATATTCTGCTACATATTTTTGGTAAAAAAAATCCCAATAATCATATATTGATTGGTTAGTGCAAAAGTTATAGCATCTAGAAACTAAGGCATATATACTGGAATTTTTATTTATTTTTATACCAGTAATGGCAGCAATCAGCAGGACAGCAATCAGCGGGACTGCAATATTGTGGCGGACAATCTGACACTTTGTGGGAACCAGTGACCAAAATAAAGTGAACAGTGCTAAAAATATACACTGTCACTGTACTAACAACCCTGGCTTGGAAGGGGTTAAACATCTAGGGCAATCAAAGGGTTAACTGTGTGCCTAACCAGTGTTTATATGTGTACTTTGTGGTGTTTTTATTAAGGGATGTGCTGGATTTTATCCCCTGCTTTGCACGGAAACAAAATCCAACACACTGACAGGACATAGCTCTGTCTTGTTTAGATAGGCAGAGCAGTGTTCTGTCTCTCTCCATTCTGATCAGCAAGTGTCAGATGTCATCCATTGGCTGGCACCCACTGATGGGCGTCTGCTGTGACTAATCATAGCAGAAGCAGCGGCAAGGGGGGGTGTGAGCACACGTCCTACCAGGAAATATACATGATTCTGCATACAGAGGCTGCCCTGTAGCAGTAGGGTGGTCGTCAACTGGTTAGGTGATAAATGCATATAAAGGTCAATATTTTATTGGCAGCATTTCAAAGTAAAATGAATACAATATTATGCATATTTTGTTGCTTTCTGGATTATTTTTAGCTTCCTGCCTGACGTAGCAGCTGGCACAGGACTACAGGTTCCTTGCTTCCTCATGCCACCACTATCAGTTACTGGGGTTCTGGCTGGTGCTGAATGAGAAAATATGTCCTGTAGGCAGGTCTCAGTGTGAGCTAACAAGCAGAACACAATGACGCTGTGTGCTAGCACATCAGTTTGCAGTGCACCATGGGAGTGCGCTTTCCTATAGTGACAATGCTGCCCCTGCTTAGGGAGCTACTAAAGCTGGCCATACATTAGTAGATTTTTTTAATGAATGCTCATACGAACATTTGTAGGAAAATTCTTGATACACTTGATGACTTGGCGAACAGCGCTTGAAACTACTTCAAAATTCTGTTTGCTTTTAATATTTGATTTTGGAATGAATTGCCCTTCTCGAATGAAAACCACATATGTTCACTGGAGAAAAAAAATTCCTTCCCGCTTCTCAAATTTTCCTGTTACTGTGTTCAAAAACAGCCGTTTACTTGACCACCAAAAAAGATTTGAAAGTTGAACAAATTCTTCTTAAAATGAAAAATTGCGAGTGACATTCTGTTAGTGTATGGCCAGCTTTAGGCAGCACTGTCACCCGAGGATAGGACAGGATGTAAATGCCAATGCTTATTTGCATCGCTACAAGGGGGGGGGGATATCCTCCTGCGCTTGATATGGGTACGCCCCTATCTACCAGCTGCAATCACTCAACCTCAACCATTAAGTCGTAAATACCATGTATAAAATAGTGAAGCGCTCCCAAATTACCTAAAAAAAAATTCCCTCTATGCATACCATGAATACCAACTGAACTTAAAAGTAATCGATACCATAAGGTGATGAAAAACATATAAACTAAGTCTATTAGTGAAAAACTAGAATACATAAACACCCCTCATATATACCAATTACTATTGCCTCATAATTAATCCACGCCATTCCCAGTTCGAGATTACGTCACTTCCGGTCACGTGGGGACGTTTGTCCGGACGCAGCGGCCATATTTGTTTCCCTCCCTGTATGAGAATACACCCATGATGTGAGGTGGAAAGCGCTGTATACAAGGATTACATGTGAGTGGGAAAAGTATGTTATGCCAAATTACTCCTAATAAACGGTGTTACACTATGGGAAGCTTTTGTTTGTGTCCTATATGACGTTTGAGAGGAGGTGGAGTGGAAGTCCTGAGGTCCCTTGCTGAGCTGCCTGGAGTAAAAGGATTGCCTTTGAGGAGGTTTTTTTTGCCTTGTGGCCCTGTGGGTCGAGGAGGGGAGGTGAGCAGGCATTGCTGCCATTGGAGGATTCCTTTTTGAGCACTAGAAGTGAAGATCACAGAGTGTTTTCACATTTTGCATGGACTTTTTGAGTTTATTCTGGACACTGAGTTCATTTATTTTATCACTGAATTAAGTAGTTATCTATTTAATTTTATTCTGTTATAGGGTTTATCACAGGATATATGTATTACATATTTTGTTGAAGAATCACTATTTATTTTGATCTATAGGTTTGTCACAATTTATCACGATTTCTCACATTTTTTATTATGAATTAGTATTATTATGAAAATTGATTTTATCACTGATATTTGAGTATTTATCAAGAATTTATATTTGTTATTTTCCATCACAGATTAATTATGAAGCAATAGTAATTGGTATATATGAGAGGGGTGTTTATGTATTCTAGTTTTTCACTAATAGACTTAGTTTATATGTTTTTCATCACCTTATGGTATCGATTACTTTTAAGTTCAGTTGGTATTCATGGTATGCATAGAGGGAATTTTTTTTAGGTAATTTGGGAGCGCTTCACTATTTTATACATGTTATTTGCATCGCTGATTACCCTTGCATGTGCAACATATTTTCCGAACATGCAGATTTTGCATTCGCAGAGCATATTTGATGAGCGTGCGTGCGTGAGTAAACGCCAAGGCTTTTTAAAGTTTCAAGAGTACAGCTGTATAAAGTCATTCACTTGTACGCCAGGCTGTTCCCCTTTGGCGCAGGAAAGCGTCTGGAGAATAACACTTTCTGTGTAATCTAGGCTATTGAAACCACATGAGGGATGAGAATGGGCAAAGAAATAGGTAAACTTGTTAACTGGTAAAATTTTGTGATTTCAGCAGCTACCCAATCAGACAATTCCATGCTTTTCAGTTAGACCACGGGTCTCCAAACTTTCTAAGCAAGGAGCCAATTTATTGTGCTTCAGACTTTAGGGGGGTCAGACAGTTGCCATTGGGTAGTAGAAAATGTCCTGGAATCAGGGGGAATATGGAAAAACAAAATGGTTGGCCGCACAAACAGCGATGTGGTAGATGAAATCCTTTATTGGAATTCTTTACATACAATATGATAAGAACATGACAGCTCCAAGACAGGACAGAGGAGCAGTAGACGCGTTTCACACGAACGCATCACTATAGTCAAAATCAGTGATGAATAATCATGTGTTCGTGTGAAACGCGTCTACTGCTCCTCTGTCCTGTCTTGGAGCTGTCATGTTCTTATCATATTGCATGTAAAGGATTCCAATAAAGGATTTCATCCACCACATCGCTGTTTGTGCGGCCAACCATTCTGTTTTTCCATTGCATCTGTGATCACGGATTGGGCCACCACCTGCATGTCTGTGGAGGGGTTATGCAGATTCGGCACTCACCTGGAGCGGATCTTTTGCTCTATCGGGAAATATGCAATGTCTCATGTTTGGTATTAGGGAAAGTATTAGTGCCCCATGGTTGGTGTCAGTGGGAGGAACAGTGCCCCATTGTTGATGTCACCAGGGGCGGACTGACCATCTGGAAAATCGGGCACTGTCCGAGGGCCTGGGTTCAGTAGGGGCCCCATAAGATGCCCCTGGTACCTTTTTCATAGGCTTTTTTGAGTTTGGGCAAGGACACAGGGGCCCCATGATCCCTTATTGCCCAGGGGCCCCATGAGTTGTCAGTCCGCCCCTGGATGTCACTGAGATGAATAGTGTCTTATCATTGGTGCCAGTGGAAGGAATAGTGCCCCATCATTGGTGTCAGTGGAAGAAATTGTGCCCCAAGGGCCAGACAAAGGAAAGCGATGGGCCACATTCGGCCCCCAGGCTGCAGTTTGGAGACCAATGAGTTAGACCATAGTGCTCTAATATTCCTTAGTGCCTTTACTTGGCCTCTGAAGAATAAGATAAGCCAAAAACTGCCGCTATGTAAAATTTATGACAAAATATTTCTCTTAACAGGTTCTAGAGAAGACAACCAGGACACCTAAAAATGTTAATTCAACTGAAATTGGGCTGTAAAGCTCTACGAAAAGTATTTGCTGTGAAGATGTTACAGAATCCGAAGTCCTCCATCCTCATCTGCAGTTCATTCCAATATGGACCACTACAT